CCAAAGGCAGCCGAGTTTGTTTGGTTTTCTCTTGAAAAGGTTTTGCTCCTCATCCAAGGAGCTTCTTCAGTTCTTCAATAAAGCACATGGCAAGTAGCCCCATTCCTCCTGAGGCCCCTCTGACTGGAAAGGGCCTCTCCTGGCTCCCACCAGCCTCGTCCGTCACATAATCAAGATGCACACAGTGATCGGTCATAAGTTGAGAACTACCTACATCTGTGGGTTTTCCCCTTAAAGATCCTAAGATGCAGAGGTTTGCAGGAGCAAATAAATTGGTTGCGGAGACGTTACCGCATTTCCTGCCTTTTGCAGAACAATCTGTACGGGGCATTTAACATTTAAATTAGTGTCTTGGGCATCCAGGTCGTGGTTGACCCAAAGGTGCTTTTTGTTTTTTCAAGAGGCAACTGGACTTTCTTGGTTTTTCCTTGAAAGACGTTTCGCTTCTCATCCAAGAAGCTTCATCTCCGTTATTGATTTAAATGGGGGCAATTGCCGGAATCCTGACATTGTGTTTCCTCGAAGTGTCGTGATAACCCAAAGGTGGCCTGAGGTTCTTGTGTGATCCCGCAGGGGGGCCCGACGTCCCTCCGTGGCAGCCACGCCCTCTTTGTCTTGCAGATCACGTGGACGGCCAGAGCGGCCGGAGAGTACGTGCACCTGAAGACGGGCTTGGAGGGCCAGGAGAGCGTGGTCAGCTACCTACCACTCAGCCATGTCGCCGCACAGATGATTGACATCTGGCTGCCCGTCACCTTTGGCGTGGAAACCTACTTTGCTCAGCCCGACGCCCTGAAGGTTAGTTGGCATGTCCTGCTTCTCCCTTTGGCAGACCGAGGGGGGCTTTTGCGGGGTGATCCTTTCACATCATCCCCACAATGGCAAGAATGACAGGGCTGGGAGGGACCTTGGAGGTCTTCTAGTCCAGTCCCCCGCTCAAGAAAAAAAGCTTACACCGTTCCAGACAAGTGGCTGTCCGGTCTCTTCTTAAAAACCTCCCAGTGATGGAGCACCAGCAACTTCTGGAGGGAGGTTGTTCCATGGGTTGATCGGTCTAACAACAGCAACCCTGCGAGGTAGACTGGACAATGGGTCAGAGTTGAAAGAGAAGTGAGCTATTGCCTTAAAATTCGAGCTCAGCTTCTAGTGACCCCCCCATGGGTACGGTCAGTGGTGGGATTTCCTAGTGGTGCACCATCCTGGGGATCAGCTGAGGTTGCCTAGGTGCTGCCCCCTAGTGGGGAAAACAAAAGTTCCCTTCAGTACAACTCGATTCCTTATTAGAGGCAGGTCTCCTTTTACATCTGCTCTGTTTAGTGACCGCTTGAAGTTAGAACAGGGCTGGAAAAGTAAACATTAGGACAGATTTTGGCACTTATAGCTGCTGCGGAGTCACCCTAGTCGCCATTTGCGACTTTCATGCCGGCTTCTGATAAACGGATCCTGCAGTAAAATCGCAATTTGAGGTCTCGCTTAATGACCGAATGGGAAGTGACTTCAGTCTGTCACAGTCCCACCATGTTTCATTTAACAACGATGATACTTTAACAACAGAGTGATTAGTCCCTGTTGCAGTCATTAAACAAGAACTGCCTATTAAGCTTTGGCCGTAGGTGATAGGGAATTGATTCTTCCAGGGTGTGTTTTCACTTCCCAGGTGATACTTTGACTGTGGGGTTTCCTGGTGGTTTCCCATTCATATACTAGCTAGGTTAGTTTCTACTTAGCATTTTTGATTTGCTGAGGTCATCCAGGTGTTGCTGTCACAAAACCTTAATATAGAACCAAATAGGTTCTTTCTGAGGGAGATGGTTGACTAAGGTATAGCAGAGGTAGGTAGATAGGTGGATGGATGGATGGATGGATGGATGGATGGATGGATGGATGGATGGACGAATAGGTAGGCAGACATATAGAGATAGGTAGAGATATAGTGATACAGAAGTAGGTAAATGATAGACAGACATAGAGATATAGAGATAGGCAGACAGACAGACAGACAGACATCGAGAGAGATAAAAGATGGATGGATGGAAAGATAGGTAGACAGATGTAAATATAGACGGCTAGAGAAATTTTTGGGATAGTTTGAAATAGAGATGGGTAGATTGACAAACAGATAAAACGGATGGATACACAGATTGATAGAGATTGACGGATGGATAGATAGACGGATGAATGGATGGATAGAGGGACAGATCAACAGAAAGACAGATAGACAGATAGATAAATGAAAGCAATGTCCCAAAGGGTAGGGGGGGGCAGACCCCCAATATTCCGGGGGTGGAGGGAATTCAGGGTGGGTTTTTCTCTGCCCTCTTCTCCCTTCATCCCCCAACCCGCCTCCTTTGCCTTGGGTCCGGCAGGGCAGCCTGGTGGACACCCTGCGGGAAGTGAGGCCCACGGCGTTCATGGGCGTCCCCCGCGTGTGGGAGAAGATGCAGGAGCGGATGAAGTCAGTGGGGGCCAAGTCCTCCACGCTGAGGAAGAAGATTGCCGTGTGGGCCAAAGCCGTGGGGCTGGAGACCAACCTGAAGCGCATGAACGGGTAGGAGGCTGGGGGCGGCTGAGTCACAGACCCTTTTTATGGGCCCGGGGGGTGGTGGTGGGGTGGTTAAAGGTGGGAGCCTTGCTGCTCCTCCGAATCGAGGGGCGGGAGGGAGGCAGAAGCGGCCTGGGCAGCCTCCGCAAGGCGTGAACCTTTCAGGACCCTCCCCTGGTTCTGCAGCCCCTTCCTCCCAATTCTGAGCCCACCGTGCCACCTGCGGCTACCCCCAGGAGAAGGAGCCCAGCCCCCTTACAAAGAAGGGCAATTCCTCCCCCAAGGACCCCCCCCCCTCCGTCGTCGTCCCCTGAACCCAAGATTTCTGGCCCGCGTCCCAGCAGGACCTGTTGTGGACACTCTATGTCAGCGTTCCAGCAAACCTCCATTCCAACATCGAGACAGACATCTCTCAAACCTTCCATTGATTTGGATAGTTAAACTGGCACAACTGGGGAATCCCGAATCAGAAAGTTCCAGGCTTCCTTGCACTAAGTAAAAAAACTACAAATCCATCCCCTGCACCCACCATCGCATCACACGGCCCAATCCCCATCTGTCCCAACTTGAGACTTCCCCTCACTTAGGCACCACACCACCTGACCTTGAATCAGAAAAAGAATTTTATTACGTCTAACTACATACGCTCCAAGAAATTCCCCCCTCCCATTTTCCCAGGCGCAGTTGTGGCAGCATGGGAGCATCTGGTCTCAATATGGCTTCCAAAGCTGACACTCTGCTCATCCTGAGCCTTGGTCAAAGGGTCTTCCTGTTGGTGCCCACTCCCCCCTTTTTGTTTCTTGGAGGGGTCTAAAGACCCAAAGGGGCTCTTCGGCATTTTCTCTCTTTAACCGATCCTCAACTTACAGCCACCATCGAGCCCTTTTTATGTCGCTTCAGTGAGAAATGCGTTAAGAAATGCGTTTTGCCCTGTGTTACGACGTTCCTCGCCCCGTTTCGTAAAGAGAATCGCTGCCGTTCTTAAATTAATGACAAGTTTGTTAAGTGAATCTGGAGTCCTCATGGACTTGGCTTGTCAAAAGGTTGCAAAAGGAGATTCGCGTGATGCCGGGGCACTGCAACTGTCCTAAATATGAGTCAAGGGCCAAGCACCCGAATTTTGATCATGGGGGTGGCGGCAATAGTTGTAAGGGTGAAAAATGGTCACAAGTCCCTTCCCCCCCCCCCAAAATGCCATTGTAACTTCGAATGGTCACTAAATGAACTGCCATAAGTCGGGGACTGCCTGTGTTCTTCTGTCCTTCCTGTTTTCCCTGCGACTCCAAGGTGGGTAAGGCTGAGAGGCAAAAGTTGCCCAGACTCCTTTCCACGCCTAAGGAAGGACCGGAATTCGCATTGACAACATTGACAACAGTCATAAAATGAGAGTCAATTGCCAAGAGTCCAAATTTGGATGGAGGTGACCCCGGGGGATGCAGCAATGGTCGTAAGCGTGAAACAGGGCCGTAAGTCCATTTTTTTTTCAGCCACATTTGGGCCGACTGCCAAAGGGTCTCTTGGATTGCGTGGCTTCCTGGGTGGATTATGGAAATTAATATTAAAAAGATATTAATATTAAAAAGAGAGAGAGAAATGGCCCTTCTTCCATTGTTGCCCTTCTGGGATGAAGACCGAACGGTGAGCTTTGAGTTCCCTTCCTTCCCCTTGAAAATATCTGGCTCTGCAACGGTCCTCAACTTAACAAAAGTTCATTTAGTGACTATTCAAAGTTAACCGCAACATTGGGGGGGAAAAAGTGGCTTACGGCCGGTGTTTCATGCTTACGACCATTGCAACCTTCCCCGTGATCACAGGATCGAAATTTGGATGTTTGGCAACCGCTTCATGCTTACGACAGTCTCGGCGTGTCACACGATCCCCTTTTTGAAGCCTCCTGACTAGCGAAGTCCATGGGGGAAGGCTGGCTTCGCTGAACAACCCTGTGGCTGACTTAACCGTAGTGCTTCGTTTAACTGTGGCAAGGACTGTCTTGCTTAACGGCCAAACTGTTGTGGTTGTTAAGTCAAGGACTGCCCTGTATGTCAGTGTTTCCCATATGGTGGTTGGCTGGCCAGGAAATATCCTGGGCCTCGAAAAGTTCATACACCTGAAAAGTTGCTAGGGGTGGAGAAAACTTGGTTTTGTTCCAAGCCTGAGATAACACGAAGCTCTTTGTTCCTCCTCGGGGATATAAAGTTGTTTACTTTATATTTTTCACAAAAGCCAAACCGACTTTTTCTCTTTGCCTTGATGACGTTTGTTGTGGAAATAAGAGACAGGATCGCAAAGTCCTTCAACGTGACACCTTCCCTGCCCTTGGGTTAGAAACAAAAGCGAAGAAATCCCACGGAGCAGGGGTGGAATTCAAAATATTTGACTACCGGTTCTGGCGGGGGGCGGGGCGTGTGTGGCGTCTTCGGAAACAGGACATTTTAAGTAGTAAAACTTACCTGGCCATCAGCGCTGGTGGGTAAAGCAGCTGAGGTGTGACGGCCACACCTATCAGCTGAGCTACAAACGAAGGAAATGTAAGACGGGAAAGGGCAGCTGCGAGTGGACAAGGCCAACTGCTGGCCGGGGCAACCGGGTCGCTAAACCGGTGCGAACCGGCAGCATACCATCACTGGCTGAGAGAAACGTGGATTAGGAAGAGACTTTTTTTTTAAAAAAAAAAAAACCATGTAAGAATGCTTTGTAGGTAGTCCTCGACTTAACGACCATAATGGTGCCATGCTGATTGTAAAGTGGGTCATCACGTGCCCCGACCTGATTTTTTAACCCCCTTTGTTTCTGCAGCGCTCATGAAGCAAATTGGCCTGGTTGTTAAATGAAACGGCAGTCATTAAGCAGATGCGGTGACCGTGGGGTGTTTGTTTTGCTGAACGCCGGAACTAAACACCTCTTTTTCAACAGAAATGTCACAAATCGTCATGTGACCGGACATTGCAAATGGCTGTTAATTTGGACTAGTGGCCAAGTGACCAAAATTCAGTCACATGACTACCAGGGGGAGGCGGCCGTCAGGATCCCAGGGTTCTTAAGTACCTTTTTTTTTGGGGGGGGGGGTTCCGTCATAACTTCAAATGATTGCTAAGCAACCGGTCATAAGTCGAGGACTACCTGCTGGGGACTTTCCTTCGAGTGGGTAAGTTTGGGAAATACTGGCCTGCCTAAGCAAACCACTTCCAAGCTTGTACCGGCAGTCCTCAGCTTACGACCACAATGGAGGACGGAATTTATGTTGCTACATGAGACGTTTGTTTTAAGTGAGCTTTGCCTCACTTTACGACCTCTCTTGCTATGGTTGTTAAGGGAGTCCCTGCAGTTGTTAAGATAGTCGTAGGGTCATTAAGTGAATCTGGCTTCCCCGTTGAGTTTGCTTGTCAGAAGGTCACCAAAGGGGGCCGCTCCCGCTGTCATAAGTATGAGTCAGTTGTCAAGCATCTGAACTTTGAACACATAATCATGGGGATGCGGTAATGGTCGTAAGTGTGCAAAACTATTTTCAAGGCCGTTGGAACTTTGAACGGTCACTAAACAAAAACTGTTGTAAGTCGAGAACGACTTGTAAATAATCACACACACACACACAAAAAAAAACACCCTTTGCAATTCCGGGCTTCCTCGCTTCCCCAGGCAGGCTGTGAGGATTCTCCTGCCTTTGGGGTCTTTGTGCCCCCGTTCAAGTTGGCTTCCTGGAATCCGGACAACCATCTTATTGCGATTTGACCATCCCAAGTGGCCGGACGTCTCCTCAGCCCCCGTCATGGTTCCCCCATCCCAACCCTTCGGTTCAGGGGAGGAAGGAAAAATTGGAATCTGCAGGGGGGGAAGGCACGGAGTTGAGCGTTGGTCAGGATCGGCGCTCGGAGAGTGCTCTCCTGATGGAGCAGGCTGGGCGGGGCCAATCGGATGAGCGACAGGGCCAGGCCAGTTGGCCAGGAGGGTCCCAGCTGATGCCCACTAGCAAGGAGGGGGAGGTAGAGTCCATCACCTCCTCCCGATCCGAGGACACGTAGGACAGAGAGGAGGCAGGGACAACGCTGGTCGGCTAGACAAGGGGTCCCCAACCACCTGGCCCCGGACCGGTACTGGTCCGTGGAACATTTTCTACCGGGCCGCCGGTTTGCTGGGCGCAGCCATCTTGTTTTGATGAGAAAGTGCTTCCGGTGAGCTTTTCCGGTTGGAAAGCGGCGTTTGGGTCCTGAAGGAATCCTCGCGCCTTAGTTTCATCGAGGGGGGGGGCGGCTTCAAACAAAACTAAGGCGCGAGGATTCTTTCAGCACCCAAGGCAAGGCGAGCCGAGCGGCCGTCCCGAAGCCCATCGACAAAGGTACAAAGGAGGAGTTGAAGGTGGCGGGGAGAAGCAGGGGACGGCTGGCTGGCCGGTCGCTCGGCTCGCCTTGCCTTGGGTGCTGATGCCGGTACCGGGCCGCGGATCATTTTGTGATGCCGGTACCGGGCCGTGGCACAAAAAAGGTTGGGGGCCACTGGGCTAGACTACACGTGAGGAGGCAACTTCACCTCATGAAGGGCTGCACTGGCGTCGCCTACTTAATCCCACCCCGGGGATTTGCATATTGTGTCCAATTCCGTGCCTTGTGTGCTCACGCCGTGTATCCCGACCCGTTCAAATCTTGGATTGTTTTCCTGGAGTTTATGTGTGCCGTTGGGCTCGGTTACGCGACGGTGACTCTTGCCATTGCAAGCTTGGAGTCCAGACCGGCGCCACGGGGAGACCCGTTTCCGAAGGCCTGTTTGAATAAGCACCTATTGTCCTGCGCGTATGTGGGGAGGGGGGAATCCTTGCAGAGAGCGGGGGTCTGGTTTCACTCCCAACCTCACGCATATTTTTCCCGCAGATCCGTTGAGCTCCCGATGAACTACCGGCTGGCGAGAGCGCTGGTTTATAAAAAGGTCCGGAAAGCGCTGGGTTTGGACCGCTGCACCAAATGTTACACGGGGGCAGCCCCCATCACGAAGGACACCTTGGAGTTTTTCCTGAGCCTGGACATTGTGGTCTACGAGCTCTACGGCATGAGCGAAAGTTCGGGCCCTCACACTGTTTCGCATCCAACGTCGTACAGGATGTCAAGGTAGAGTCAAAACTCGACTTACAACCATAGCAATAGCACTTAGACTTATATACCGCTTCATAATCCTTTTTTACAGCTCTTTCTGAGGAGTTTACAGAGTCAGCCTCTTGCCCCCAACTATCTGGGTCCTCATTTTACCGACCTCAGAAGGACGGAAGGCTGAGTCAATCTGGAACTGGTCAGCATCGGATTCCTGGCTGTGGGCAGAGTTAACCTACAGTACTGGATTCTAACTACGGCACCACCACTTCCTTCCTTCTACCTCCTTCCTCTCCTTTCTTCCTCCCTCCCTCCCATCTCTCCCTCCCTCCCTCCCATT